CATGCTTGCGATGAGATCATTCATAAAGATACGAAAAAGGTCACTCAAAATATCAGATGGAAAATGGGAACTGCAGCAGGGTTAACTTGGAGCCAAAACCAGATTCTTTCAATAAAAGGAAGAAGAGAAATAGGAGGAATAAACAAAATATTATGGTCGAGGAGGAGAATATAGACAAACAAGCAAATTTGGTGAATCGTCATATAGCACCAAAGCAAATTGAAAAGGAAACAAAAAATTCCAAAATAGTTGATATAGTGAATGAGCAAACGCAAGAACATACACAGGAAGAGATTGCACCCTCATCTATTCCAGAAGATGATGGTGACCTATTAAATACACAAGTTCAGATTAATGAAGCAGTGTATGAAATTGTCTTAGGAGACGCTGACAGCAACTATCTTAAGCTAATTTGTGGAACTGATCTTGAGACCAAGAGTAAGAAAGTTGATGATGATCTTACGATTCGGGAACACCCCAACTCCTCTAAAATGGGGTATCACAACTCAGGGGATATGGATTATGTAGATGATGAAAGCTCAGAAACAAGTGAGGAATATGCTAGTGTGGACAGTGAGAAAGACAACAATGATGAACATGCAGATAAATTGGTGGAGGCAGTTACCTCCCATTCAATGGTTGAAGTTAATGTAACAACAGATTATGGAGAGGTGGCTAATATTGGGCACCTACCAAATAGAGGAAGAGGAAGGGGCAACAAGAGATGTGGTAGAACTTCATCAAGAGGCAGAGGGATTAAAGGGGGTAAGCAAAACAACCAAAGGCTTGGAAGGGTCTCATAGGGTCACATCTTATCTAATTAAGTTATTATTTTTAAGTTCCTCTATTGGAATATCAGAAGAATTAAATCCAATGGTGCTCTTGAAAGACTTAAGCAATTGATTACTTTAGAAAAACTGTCATTTATTACCTTGAGTGAACATTTCTATGAAGCTAATAAATTGGACAAATTCAAAAGAATTCTTAGTTTTAAAAATACCTTTGCCAACTGTAATAGCCAAATTTGGATTTTTTGGGAAGATAATTTTGATTGTACAATTGTCGAAGAGGATGAATAATGGGCTACTGGCAAGATCAAAGTTAATGGGTTATCTCTACTCTGGACCTCTGTATATGCAAAGTGTGATGATCACTAAGAGAGGATTTATGGGAGAGTCTTAGAACTTTAAGTGATTCATACAACCTTCCATGGTTAGTAATAGGAGACTTTAATTGCATAATTGATCCAGTAAAAAAGAAAGGAGGATCTCCACATGGAATGTCCAAAAGTTTGTCGTTCATTCAGTGTATCATGGATTGTGAGATTTTGGATGCTTTCCTTGGTGCATTGGTTGGTGTCCAAACAAAAGAGTTTGGCAGCGATTAGATAGAATATTGATAAATCATGATTGGTTGAACCTATTTGATTCCACTCAGGTTTCTCACTTGATCAGAACAGGATCTGACCACTTCCCTCTACTAATCACTATGAAATCTAAGATGAGAGACTCTATAAAATATTTTAGCTTCATGGATTTCTTGACTGAAGAAATTGACTTTATGTCAGTAGTGGAGCAAGCATGGAACGTGGATGTGCAAGGATCGTCATTCTGGAAGTTTCATCTAAAACTCAAAAATACATGCAGGAAGTTATCAGAGTGGTCAAGGAATTATGTTGGGAACATATTTAACTCTAAAAAGGAGGTAGAAGAGAAAGTTGGAGATCTGGAATAAAAGTCTATCAATGATAATTCTGATATTAATAGAGTTGCCCTTAACCAAGTAAATGTTGAACTAATCAGAGTTATTAAGAACCTCTTTACCAAAATATTTACTCATACTTGTCTGATCATGATTCCCAAGGTGATATGCCCACAACAATTCACTGAGTTGAGACCTATCAGTCTCAGTAATTTCTCTTGCAAGATAATCTCAAAGATTATGAACCAAAGAGTGGGACCTTTGATACAGAAATTGGTATCTCCATGTCAGACGGAATTTACTAAAGGGAGGGCAATCACATAAAATATTTTGCCAACTTAGGAGATGGTTCATAATATTAATCAAGCCCCACAGACTGGTAATGTAGTCATGAAACTAGACATGGCCAAGGCTTATAACATAGCGAATTGGGAGTGCATATGCCAGATTATGAGACAAATGGGCATCTATGGGATCTGGATTGACAGAGTTTGGAGGTTGATCAATAATGTATGGTACTCGATCAACCTTAATGGAACTAGACATGGGTTCTTTAAATCTTCCAGAGGGATCAAACAAGGGCATTCAATATCCCCTTCCTTGTTTGTGATTGGAGCTGAGCTACTACCTAGATTGATAAACATGCTCCCAGAGAGTGGTTTTATTTCATACTCAGCAGAGAAGAATGGCTCATTTATCACTCATTTGTGTTATGCAGATGATACTATTCTATTTTTATCAGGTGATTTAATTTCTCTCAGCTTGATGATTGACATACTAAGAGCATATGAATGTATATCTAGTCAGAAAGTCAATAAAAAAATATGGATTCTATGTCTCCCCACAGCTTGATGAAGATAATGTCAATGAAGTCAAGAATATTACTGGTGTTCCACGTTGTCAATTCCCCGTGCAATATTTAGGTTATCCTATTTACTTGGGAAGGAATAAAATTGTCCACTTCAACAACATGGTGGCAAAAGTCTCTAGAAGATTACAAGGTTGGCAAGGGAAACTTCTTTCCTTTGGAGGTAAAGCCGTTCTATTAAAATATGTTCTTCAATCTCTCCCACTCCATCTTCTATATGTCTTGTATCCTCCCAAAATGGTCTTATACCAGATTGAGAGGATAATCTCTAAATTATTTTGGGGGAAGATTGAAGATAGAAACAAAGTGCACTGGATTAATGGGCACATTTATGCTATCCCACCATTGAAGGAGGAGCTAGTTTTAGGTCTCTACATGACACTTTTAGAGCCTTCTCAGCTAAAGTTTGGTGAAATTTTAGAACCAAAAAGGGATTGCTAAAGAATTTTTTAGAGGCAAAGTACTGCAAAAGAAAACATCCAATAGCTAGAAAGTAGTCATATGATCAATCTCACACCTGGAAAAGGCTCATGGATATAAAGGAAGATGCTGAAAAATTCATTTTATGAAAGATAGGCAAAGAAAATGTGTTGTTTTGGTGGGATAATTGGCCTGGCATAGGTGCACTTGCTAAGCTCAGGCAACTACCTAATGCATCTAGACATACTAAGGTCCTGAACTTCATTAAAGAGGGAAGATGAAATGTGACCAAGCTTAAGGAAGTCCTCTCCGATAGTTTCATTAGCAATATTTTGGAGATTGAGATTTATGGGGGTAGCGAAGATTTGCCAGTTTGGTCAGTTGATTCAAGCAGAGTCTTTACCTGTAAATCGGCATGGGAAAATATGAGAAAACAAAGGTCAAGATCTTTTACTACATCTATGATGTGGCACAAGAGAATTCCTTTTAAAATCTTATTTTTTATGTTGAGGATGATTCGGTCCAGAATTCCTATTGATGAAATAATTCAAAAATTTGGTAGAATGGTTCCATCCATGTGCTCCTATTGTACTAATCACAATGAGAGGACTATCACTCATCTCTTTTGCAAAAGCCAGATTGCTACACAAATTTGGCTATTCTTTGGTAGATATTGTGGTATCACCTTGAAAATGGAAAATATCAGACAGATTTTATGTGTTGGTGGCTAGCAAAAATAAAGAATAAAATCCACGTTGCTTTGTTACAATGCCTACCATTAGTTATCTGTTATGAGATTTGGAAGAGTAAGTGTGCTTCCAAATTTGAAAATATTCACATGTCCGAAAGGTTTATAATTCAGCAAGTGTCTAAATATATGACTTTCTTTTTAAATATTCAATTCCCCAAAGTTACTCTTCCTCATCCTTGGCACGCTTTATGCATAGCAGTGGAGATGACTAGACAGATCATTACCAGCCAATTGGTAAGGTGGTATAAACCTGATGATGGATGGGCAAAATTAAACACGGATGGTTGCAGTAAAGGGAATCCAGGAAATTCCGGCGGAGGGGGAATACTAAGAAACAGTCAAGGTGCTTGCATTACCGCATTTGTTGATTATTATGGAACTTGTAGTAACAATATGGTTGAGGCCAAAGCTATGCTTCAGGGTATAAAAATGTGCATTACTAGTCGATACTCCAATGTAATAGGTGAAGCTGATTCCCAATTGATAGTAGACATGATTAACAACAAAATAAAGGTTCCTTGGCACATCCAACATATCATAGATCATATTGTTCTTCTCTCAAGTACTGGTAATTTTTGTTTTGTCCATACATTCAGAGAGGGTAATATGGATGCCGATCAATTAGCAAACATGGTTGAAAAAGGGAGAAATCGAGTTATTATGTGAAGGCAATTATGAAATTGGATAAGCAGAGCATTCCAAACTTCAGATTCAGACCAAGGAAGAACTGTTTTGTAATTAATGATGCTAACCTTAGATAGTGATGTTGTTTGTATAGTTTTTACAACTATGCTCATACCAACTTTTTGTGAAGCTCGATGTACAAATATTGTAAAGTATATAACCACCAAAGCTAGGCAGTATTTTATTGATCAGATGTACACAACAATGAGTACTATAATTCTCCATCATATTTTGGAGGCTATAGTTTATGTCCTCCTCCGTGTACTTATCCTTTTTGATTATNGGGGGGGGGGGAATCAATTAAATCGTCCTCCTAATTTTGAAGGAAAGACCAATCCCATATGTGGAAACTTGCACGATTAGCATCCAATTACGAAAACAAGAGTTATCTTTTGAGAAAGCAGATTTCTGCTTCTCTCTGAACTTTCAAATGGAACATCCTGAAATGCATTGATTTCATCCTAAATAACAAGTTTATACATCCTGAGATATTAGCCTAGTAACACCAACGGAACTACATTAGAACAAATTGAGGAATTGCCACAAGATTAAGGAAATCAAAAATAATCAATTTGATCATAAACAACTAGGAGGAGATTGTTTCCCATATGAAGCACCAATCACATTTAAACACGAAGACGTGGCTGGTCCTCCTCGTCCGTGGTATGCCAAGTTGATATTGTTAAGCTGCACATTCTTACAGGGCACCAATTTACTACATTTTAAAGTGACTGCAACCTTTGAACTTGATGTTCCCCATATGTTACTGAATGTCACATTGCTTATTTGTACTTTAGAATTGTCCTGTCCCTGCACAACATTAACAAACATACTTCAATAATTCAATTCACTATGTAAAAGGAAGTGGTAACAAATTGTAGAAATGACATTAGGTAGTCATTCTAGAAGATTGTTATTTAGAAATTAGTCAGTGTGTCCTGAATTTTAGTTTTTCAGTTTAATTTTTTAGTATACAAAGTGTTGAAGTTAAGATTTTTAGTTTAAACTTTAAGGACAAAATAAGTAATGGCTAATCCCTAAATAGCAGTCATAAAAATGTGCTCATCACGTACCAGATTGCTGCAAGAAGGATATGGGCAGTATTGTTGATCAATGAGGACTGGATTATTGACATTTTGCACGTAAATGTCACCAAAAAATATATCAGAAGCCTCACTTGACAAAGACGGTGCCCAAGTTTTGATCCTTGCCCCATTTTGAGTATCAATAAATGTGCAATTTCTCACATTTATGCCTGTAACAAATTCTCCAGGTGATTTTCCTAGACTACCAATGCTAATTCCATGACCAGGTCCACAAGTAACTTCGGAAATGTCGATGTTTCGGCTGCCTGTAACCATGGAAATGCAGTCGTCCCCGGTTTGAATAACAGTTCTTGAAATTCTAATGTTCGTTGAAGCTCCGATGTGAATGCCGTCGGTGTTGGGGCTGTCCCCAGGAGCTGTCATTCGTACGAAACTGATGTTTATGTTGTTGCACGCAAAGAGGTTTATGTGGGAGTTCTTGCTGTTGATTGATCTCAAATGATGGATTCTTGAATTCGTCACGAAATCTAATCTCAAAGTCTAATTAAAAAGAAACACGAAACATCAAAATAAAAATGGTAAATTTACTAAAAACTAGAAGTATTTGTTGTTGAATAGTTATTTCGAAGAGGTATTACAACAATACATATTCACATAATGACGTTTGGGGAGGATAATTCTTGGATTTGGAAGAGGTGTTATTATTTCTATTTTTTAAACTTTTCTTTACGGGTGGGTTTGGTCATCGAATAGTGCAGGGGTGATTGACCCTTTTGTGGGAATAGAGTTATATGACAAAGTGAAGAAAATCTCTCGTAACCACCGAAGTCAACTCTAGTCCCTATTTTGGAAAAAGGTAGTCTTGGTCAATAAAATGTTCCTCTGATATGGTAAGTCCATATATACCCTGTGAAAATTCTAGTACTAGTAATTTACTACCTTACCTAAACACTTTCGAATTAAGAAACATAATCATGTAATAATATGTTAATTTTACCACCTTACCTAAAAAAACTCTTTCGTAATAAGAAACATAATCAAGTTGTAGTGGGATTATGTAGAATCTCAATTGCAAGATCTTAGTCCTAAGTCCTAACAAAGTAAACTAAATTTAAGGAGAAAAAAGTATGCGAATTAATGACTTCACACTACACAAGTATTACTAAATACCATTTGATATATGAGTAGACACAATTCAGGGAACTAAAAGATTTACTTAATATACTCTCAATTCCTTCCAAAACATGAAATGTGAAGACTGAAAACTCTATATTATAATAATTTTCACTCAAAAACAACATCCCCACTCTTTGAAAAATGCAAAGAAAAAAGAATCTTTATTGTAAAATGATCGTCCACAAGTGTTTTCCATGTGAACTTTAAGCACTTAACCATAGTTAATTATATGCATTTTCAACTGATTATATCACTTAACAGTAATAATTTAATATGATTTGGTGTAAACATTAAGTGCAAATAAACATTTTACCGTGGAAAACTTACCACAGGAAGAGGCATGCAATGGGGGTTCTTGGAACAATCGTTATATGGCCAAGCAGAAGCACCTTGACCATCCAAATAGCCACCACCTTTAACAACTAGCCCATTTATGTAACGAAAACCAATCCAAGTATTTGTGTTGAACAATGATGGACTTGTGGGAGCTTTGAGAACCCCCTTTATTACAAATCTCATTAAACTCCTACATGGACCCTCAAATGAAACTGATCTCAACATGTAGGTTCCATATGGAATTAAAACCATACTCCTTCCTCTCCATTGACAAGCATCTTCCCATGCCTTTAAAAATGCCTGAAAAACACAAAACAAATTAAAAAAATTAAGAGGTGGATCTGTGTTTAACTGAATCGGTCGCTTTTAATTGAACTACGTATACATCTGCAAGAAAAAAATTATAAATACTTATATACACACTCATTCTGCCACTAACTTAAGATTTTGAATTCGTCTCTTTGTAATGTACATCATTTGGTGCATTATCATATAGTCACATTATTTTCATTTTGCAATCGATACAAACAAGAGAGTAGGGCCTAATTAATGTCTTTTTCCAATACAAACCTGGCTATTATCTCTCTTCTCATCAGCAACTGCACCATAATCCAAAACATTGAAGAACTTAAGTGGTGAATTATAATATTGGGAATTAGCTATGCTCAAAAATACAAACAAGCACACACTAAAACTTGCAGAAGCCAATGAAACCATTTTTTTCCCTTTCAACTGCACTGCTCTCTCATGAGATTAACAATTATATAAAAGACATAGGCTTTTAATGTTTGATGTGTAAATGATACAAATAAGGTACCTTTTTGGCTAAATTTAATTTCTTTCCTCTCTCTTGGATTATTTTCCAATTTTGGATTTATATGAATGATCTCATTTTGACTTTTTCTTGATTACTTACCTAACATATGTATTTTACCAAGTTAGCCAAGAAATCCAATGACAATATTTTTAAATACATTAATGCCTTTGGTTTAGGGGAACTATATATCCTATTAAGTAAAATTATCATAATGCTATTAGTACGGACGTCGGTAGCATTTAAGCCAAGGACTTGTTTCTTTAATTTGTCACCAGTATTGATAAAGCTCGTAAGAATTTGCTATTGGAGCCAAGGATTCCATTTATGGTGGAAAAGATTTATTTCTGATTTTATCTTAATTAATTAATAATAAAGTTTTTTCTTTTCCTTATTTTGGTAAACAATTCATTTAGTTTCCGTAACGAGTCCTTTGCATTTACACAGAAGAGAATTTGCTCTATATTGCTCTTTGGTTTTTTTTTTTTAGAAAACTCTGTTTTAATTTGTTTATTTTCAGTAGAAACGGTATAGCTTATACGTTCAAATTCTAATTATACAATTACAGTTTTGAATGGCTTCCCAAGAATTATAACTAGATTGATTATTGATCATATTTTCACACTAATTCAAGTCATTGTTGCTATTCCCTAAACATTGATATCATAGCTCGTAAACTGTAATCATACATGCTTTGAGCTCCTATTTATGCGACATTATTACAAACATTTTTCTGTTACAGTAATCAAAACATTACTTATTTTATTTTAACATGATGCACCACATAAAGTTTAGAAAAATAACACAATTTTTTTTTTTACGAAACCAAATTTTTTTACCCAAATTTTATATATGTTTTATAATAAACCAAGTATGGACATTGTTACTGCCTTAGTCATAAGTCTAATTATCATGCCTCACTTGTGGATTTTTACCCCGAAAAAAAAAATTAAGCAAGACGAAATATTACAACAAAAATGAGAATTTTTACATAAGTAGCCAGAGGAATTCATTATTTATTTTGCTTAGCCGATACACATCGTTATATACTAATTAATTCTTCAAAAGCTATTTTTAGTTTAACTGATTTAGTTAGCGGCTATTTAGGTTAACTCTTCTAAGAATATGCAAGTGCACAGATAACCATTCTCAAGGATGCTATTTAGAGAGGCAAAATAGCCTCCGAGCCATTTAAACTTGCACCGGTTTGTCATTCCGGTAATAAACTTACACTTTTCTCATTTGAACACTTCTAACTCATATATTTGTAAGTTAATAAACCCCTTTGACCACTGATCATGCACATGTGGTGATCACAGTGCTGATGTGGCTAAAATGCGTGTCTATCACGGACATAAAGAGCATGCATCTATATATTAAAGGAATAAAGTTTGCTAGCTATTAAGAAGCCACTTGGCAAACTTAGAACAAAAGAAATGATTAATTAATGAAAGCAAAATGGAAATAAATTAATTCAAATTTTGATTTACATTCTCACACATACTTTCTTCCCTTTAATGATTAATGGAATTAAAATTGTTTCCATTTTAGTTCCACCTCGCGGCTCTGTTTTGATTTCTTTAGTCTTTTCTGCCTCCAAAATCTTTCTTAGCAGACACAGCTCTTTTATGTAGTAGGCACAGTCTATCTATGACCAAAGCAAGAAACAGTGAAAACCTTGCATTTGTAAACCAGAACAAAGAAAGACATTATTTGGGAGTTTCTATTATAGTTGAACACAAAGAAAAATTTATATTTTTTACAGGAAAAAAAAAAATTGTTTTATGAGGTAATGAATGTGTTATGTAAAAGTATTCCGTTGGTTATGTATTATGTATCAGAACTTTATTCAACTAATTTATATAGTCTAAATTTATCTTTTTCTGCCAAATATCATATGAAAAAAGTTATAAAATAAAATATGTAAAGGTTGTAAGACAAAGATTTACCCAATAGCTATTAAATTGAACGATAAGAAAGCTTGAATTAAAATTAAATAATTCGAATTTGGATTAAAAACAATTAAAGATAAAAATATATCACTTTTAAATTTTGCGTCTAAATTCTCGGATATAATAAATGTAGTTATAAAATCTATATATCTTCTCTCTATTTATTTTGTTAGACCAAATAAACTCAAATCTTATATATCCAAGCTTTTGAATTAAAAAACAAAACAAATCAATTCTTATCCAAGCTTTTGAAATGGGAAAAAAAAACTTTAAGGATGAAAAAAAAAACCTTGAGATTTTGGTGAATAATTAAGTACGAGCATATGCACTTTTTTGTCTATTATTAAACAATAGAAAAATAATTATATAAAATTTCATAGTAAAATAATGTAATAAAATATATGAAATTGAAATATAAGAAAATCTGAATTAGAATTAAACAATTTGAAATTGGATAAAAAAAAAATTGACTTTTGGCTAACGCAAGTAATCTTTAATCAAAATCCACATCTTTTCTGAAGTAGTTCAAATCAAGTTTTACATTGTAAAATAAATGTAATAAATATATTAAATTAAAAGATAAGAAAATTTGAATTAAAATTAAATAATTTAAATTTGGATAAAAAAATTAATTCCAATTAATAAAATATAGAAAATAGAACTAATATAGAAACTAATGAATTTTAAATGAAAGATAAAAAAAATTGAATTGAAAAACCTTTTTTCCTTTGAAAGTAAAAGTATATCACGTTTAAATTTTGCCTCGAATTCAGGGATCTAATAAAGAAAGTTATCGAATAATTACACACATAAAAATAGATAAAGAGAATTTAAAAATAAATTTACAACTCAATATTCTATATTAAAAAATAAAGGAGAAGCTTGAAATAACTACATATTGCTATTATAATAGTAATTGTAATAATAATAATCTTAATTTATTCTCTCTATTTATTTTGTTAGACCAAATAAACTCAAATCTTATCTAAACTTTTGAATTGAAAAACTAAACAAATCAAAATTCAAGCTTTTGAATTGGAAAATAAACTTCAAGGATGGGAAAAAAAAACTTAAGAATTTGGCGAATTATAAAATATGAGCATATGCATTTTTTTTCCTATTATTAGATTAAATACTAGACAAAATAGTTATGTCAAATTTCATAGTAAAATGAATGTAATAAATATATTAAAGTGAAATACAAGAAAATCTGAATTAAAATTAAATAATTTGAATTTGGATACAAAAATTCTAATAGTAAAAGATAAAAAAAAATAGAATCAATATAGAAAATTACGAATTTGAAATCAAATATAAAAATATTTTAATTGAGAAAAAAATTGAAGATAAAAGTATATCACTTTTAAAATTTTCCTCTAGATTTCTATATCTATCTATATCTATATATTATTAAAAAGAGAGGAAAAAGCTTCCACATTAAGCCAAGTGGCAACCTCACAACAGGCCACTTGGCAATTTAGCACAAAGTTAGTTAGGTTAGATAATAATTAGTTTTTTGAATTTTAATTTTATGCATAATGTGTTGTTAATAATTAATTGCTCTCTTTGAGTTAACAAATTTGTAGTTCTAAAATTATTCTAAAATAAAAAATGAAAATAAATTAGAAGAAAAAACCTGTGAATTTAAATTGAGGAGTAATTTCTTCCTAATATGGTAGTCTATATCTATAAAATACTACAAATATATTTTTTATATAGAAAATAATTTGCTACAGATATATTTTTTGATATACGAAATAATTTGATTTTGAATTTAAAGATAAAAATATTATTTCAAATTTATAGATAGAAATATTTGAGTTGAGATAAAATAAAAGTTCATTTGCTTATGGCAAATAATGAAAAATAACAATTATTAAACATATCAGTAAATTTATGACAAAATAGTAAAATCTATATATTAAAATGAGAGGAAAAAGGCTCCACATTAAACCAAGTGGTCACCTCATAATAGGTCACTTGGCAATTTAGGACAAAGTTACTTAGGCTAGATAATAATTAGTTTTTTGAACTTTAATTTTAATTTTAAATAATTTAAATTATGCATTATGTGTTGTTAATCTATATCTATATATTATTGAAAGGAGAGAAAAAAAAGCCTCCATATTAAGCTAAGTGGCAACCTCACAATAAGACATATGGCAATTTGGGACAAAGTTAGTTAAGTTAGGTAATAATTAATTTTTTAAATTTTAATTTTAGTTTTAAAAAATTTAAATAATATATTATGTGTAGTTAATAATTAGTTACTCTCCTTGAGTTAATAAATTTGTAGTTTTAAAATTATTCTAAAATAAAAAAGAAAATAATAAGAAGAAGAAAACTGCGAATTCAAATTGGGAAGTAATTTCTTCCTAATATGATATTCTACATTTATAAAATACTACAGATATATTTTTTGATATAGAAAATAATTTGATTCCTCAAATTTATAGATATAAATATTTGAGTTAAGATAAATAAAAGTTCATTTGCTTATGAAAAATAATAAAGAATAAATAAAGAACAAATAATTTATTTAATTACTATATAATGTGTATACGTTAATTTTGTAATATTTCAGTACACTATATTAAATAATAAAATAATATTATATATTAAATTATAATTTTATAAGATCAATATTCTATCAAATTATCCACGGATTCTAATACTAGTTTGATGATTATAACAAAAAATACTAAAATAAGTAAAAATAAATTAAAAAAAAGGACCAAATTATTAATAAGAAAAAAGAAAGCTCCTTAGTTTTTCCCGTCCTTTTCCTACCAACCCACCCCCTCCCTCTTATCAGCATCTTCTTCTTTTAATTTCTTCTCTTTCTCGTTCAAAGCTTTCCTGGTCATCATCATCACCATTTATTTTTTCGTTTTTCTACAAATCTTATGAGGATTATGTATCAAACCATAAATTATGAAGGGGTATTGATGAAGTTGTCTTGGGTTGTAATTGCTAGGGTTGTTTGCAACCTATTCACGTGGTGATAGCAACAATTAGTGGAATTGAGGTTGATTCATTGTTAGCAGTGATGGCTCTGATGATTTTCGATTTGATAAATTTTTGTCTACTGATTTGAGTTATTTTAGAGAGAATTTTGGAAAAAAATATGGGAGGGATTAATGTCTATTGGGGTTGATTTTTGGAGTAAAAGAGAAAATTCTGAGGTTACAACATGTTTTTAACTAAAATCACTAAGTCAAAGTATGAAAATTGGAGGAATTTTCCAATTTTGCTGGCGCCGTTGAAAATGAGTTTGACATTGGAATTTTATTAGTTGGAGTCTGTAAAGTTTGTTGCGTTTGATTTTTGATTTTTTTTTCTTTTCTGGTGATAGGTCTAATTAATATTTATAGCTGGAGCTTGTGGTGGTGGTAGGCGAAGCTGGTGGTTAAGGACCTTTTGGTGGTGCTTTGGTTCACCATGGAATAGTTTTGACAGAGGTGGAGAAGAAGAGAAAGATACAATAACAACAACAACCCAGTGTAATCTCACTAGTGAGGTCTGGGGAGGGTAGTGTGTACGCAGACCTTACCCCTACCCCGAAGGAATAGAGAGACTGTTTCCGAAAGACCCTCGACTCAATAAGACAAAAGGACAAAAGAAAATAATATTAGTAACACCACAGAAACAATATGAAAGAAATACATTTATATATATATATATGAAAAATAAGAACAACATGAAATCAAGAGGAATGATACCAAGCAAAATCAATATAGTATCCTTACCAAACCAGTCCCCCAAAGTTATGACATAAGACAATACTCAACTACCTCCTAGCCTACAACTTTAATACTCGACCTCCACATATTCCTATCAAGTGTCATGTCCTCGGAAATCTGAAGCATCGTCATATCCTGTCTAATCACCTCCCCCAATACTTCTTAGGCCGCCCTCTACCTCTTCTCGAGCCCTCCACAACCAGCCGTTCACACCTCCTTACCGGAGCATCTGGGCTTCTCCTCTGAACGTGCCCGAACCACCTGAGCCTTGCTTCCCGCATCTTGTCATCAATGGGAGTCACGCACACCTTCTCTCGAATATCACCATTCCTAATCTTATCCATTCTACTATGCCCGCACATCCACCTTAACATCCTCATTTCTGCTACCTTCATCTTCTGGATATGTGATTTCTTAACCGGCCAACACTCAGCCCCATACATCATGACCGGCCTAACCATCGCTTTATAGAACTTACCTTTGAGTGTCAGTGGCACTCTTTTGTCACACAATACTCCAGATGCTAACCTCCACTTCATCCATCCTACCC